ACACTTGTTTAGACCTGTAGTAAGAGGAGCACCCATGCCCCCTGGAGGAGTTCATTTGAATGCTTTCCCCCAGAGGGGGGAAAACCAAAAAAAACCTTTATCAAAGGGATGGGTCTTGGATATCGAGAAATTTTGGGGGTGGGATGAAAAATGAAGGGGTTTTAAACCAAAAATTTATCCAAAGAGGAGAATTTCGAAAACCCCCTAGGGGGGGGAATCCAAAAAAACTTGATCCAGGGGGATGGAGACATTTGATTTCGAAAAAAAATTTGATCCGAGGAGATCATAAGAATTTCGAAACCCCCATAGGGGGACCAAAAAATTTATTATCGAGAAATTTTGGGATGGAGGGGAAAGTGAGAGGGGGAACCTTAAAAAATTTGATCCGAGGAGATGGAGTCTTGGTAATATTGAGAAATTTTGGGATTGGGGGGGGTGGGGGGGAAAGTGGGGGAAGGGTGAAACCTCAAAAATCTTGATCCCAGGAGATCAAAGAATTTTCGAAACCCCATAGGGGGGGGGTCCAAAAATTTTTTATCGAGAAAATTTTGGGTGGGGGGGAAAGGGGAGGGGGGGAACCGAGGAATTGGGGGCTTTGTTTCGAAGAAATTGTTTGGGGGGATGGGGGTGAAGTGAGAGGGGGGGAACCTCAAAACCCCTTTATCCGAGGAGATGGAGACTTTCGAAAACCCATAAGGGGGATCCCCAAAAACCCCCATAGGGGGGGGGGAACCAAAAACTTGTAAAATTTTCGAGAAATTTTTTGGGGTTGGGGGGTGAAAGTGGGAGGGGGGGGTCCGAGGAAGTTGGGGGACTTTGATATTGAGAAATTTTTTTGGGGGGGGGGGGGGGGAAAAGGAGGGGTACCCAAAAAACTTTATCCGAGGAATTGGAAGATTTCGAAAACCCCATAGGGTGAATCCAAAAACTAGATCCGAGGAATTGGATAATTTCGACATCTCGCCCATAGGGGGGAATCCAAAAACTTGAAATATCGAGAAATTTTGGGATGGGTGAAAGTGAGAGGGGGAACCTTAAAACTTTGATCCGAGGAGATGGAGAAGCACAAGAAAATGAAATTCAAAAAAAATCGACAAAAAATCGGAAAAAAATTCGAGGCGCGGGGCATCCGTACGACGCTGAGCAGAAGGCGCAGCAGAAGGTGCGGGCGGGGGTCGCGAAGGCGCGGCGGGCGCGGCGGGCGGGGCGCGCGGGCGGGCGCGCGGCGGGTGGTCGCGAAGGGTGCGGAGCGGCGCGCGGCGGGCGCGGCGCGGGGTCGCGAAAGGTGGGGTCGTGGGCGGGTATTGGTTGGTGGGGGTCAAGGTGAGGTAGTCTCGAGTGGCGAGTCATGTCAAAACCGAAAGAACAACCTAGGTGTGAAAAGTGGTGACCCTCCAGCCGCTGGTTCCTAGACCGGGAAGGGACCGTGCCCAGTGGAAGGTACTAAACCGGAAGTGGACCTCTCCAGAGGAAGCCCACGAAACCGGAAGGTAACCTCCAGAGGAATGCCTAAACCCGGAAGGGACCCCCCAGAAGAAAACTTCCACATACTTACTGTAATATAAAGACCAAATACACCTTAAAGAATTAATTTTGTATAAGGATGAATAAACTGTGGAAATTCATTCCTGAAAGCAGGATAAAATAATGGTGATTAGGATCAGTGTGGACGGCGACTCTCTTACAATGTCAGGTGAAAATCACATATGAGAAGTTTATTAATAACACATAAGGATGGGAAGGAGAGGGAGATGAGGAGTAGATGGAGGGATGTTTGATCCAACGTGTTGGAGCAGCGATGCTAGGGGTTTCGTTGGGGAGTGATCTGATGCGGAGAGTTGGAGCAGAGGCGAGATGGGTGGGGAGGAGAGGTTGTCCTCTGAGCAAAGTAGGGGGGGGGGGGGTGCAAAGGTGGTCCATGATCCAGTAGCTGGAGCAGGGTGATGGTGTTTTCGGTGTATCTGGATGTAAGTGAGGGGACAAGTGTGCTAGGTTGAACCGAGGAAATGGAGTGGGGGTGCAGGAAGTTGAGATTTGGGAGTCCTAATCTAAGAATTTGAGACAATGGTCTTGCGTGGGGTAGGGGAATGGAGTTGTGAGGATGCTCTCGATCTGAGGAGTGGTTGCATGGGTGGTCTTGGAGAGAAATTGTGGATGAGACTTGGACAAGTGCTTTTGATCTAACCCAAGAAACCTGAGCTGATTTTAATAGATAGTTGTAGAGAAAGTAAAAGGTTAATGGGAATCTTGATCTAAGGAGTTTTAAGCACTCAAGGAGGTGAGTGGAAGCGGAGGAGACCAGGCTCTCACCTCTCTGGTGGATAATGTCAGTCCGCGCCGATCTGAGACAATGCCTGCATGTCTCCTGCAAACAAGGCGTCACTCTGAGAAAATACTTCAGTGTCCCCCGCCGTGACCCCCCCCACCCTTCGTGCAAAACAACAATCACTCGTGAAAAATGCCTCCATGTCTTTCTGCCAAAAATGCGTCACCTGAGGACATGCTTCCATGCCTCCCATAAAATGCCATCGCTTTAAGAGAGTCTATACCACTATGCATTGCTTCTCTGTCATTTGAAACTCCAAACAATATTGTGTTATAAATATGGTGAGACTACCATGGCAACCCACAAACCCCTCCTCATGTTTTTCACACACATAAAAACTCATATACAAACTTTTTTAAATAGAATATAAACATGGGTACTCCACTGGTTCTCCTCACAGTGCATACTACCAAAGGTAACATGGATGTACAAGACCTTACTAACAAAACTATCAAAGAGATGTCTGGAAATCCTATAACCAGAAAATGTTTCACAGATGGCGTGTACAGCATACCAAATGGCATGTGCGATAAATATTATATGGACAAAACCACCCGAGATTAATTCAACACAAAAATGCCTGCAGAATGGATAACACGTCAACGCTTCCATAGACCATTGTAACCTGCTTTTTCACATTCTGGAATGAAGAAGAGCGCAAAAGTTACATCACAAAAGTACATGGACCAAAGGGAACAAAGGACTGCATGTTGGTTAAACACACTGCCTAGATTTTTTGTGATTTATACAATGAACATAAACCCTCTCTCACCATTCACTGACCCCATCTTGGTCCTGTCTTCCTCTGAGGGTACCAGCAACGTGTTAGTATGATTTATAAGGAAGAGTTTTGCTTTTGCTGCATATTCAAGGAAGCCAATCCTTGCGCTTCATCGTGATGTAAGGGTATCCAGGCACAAATATTTATATCTAAAGCACGAACAGATTAATTTATAATAATTGTATTTGCTGTCCGCTATCTTAACTGGAAACTATATTAGTAATAAAATGCTTATTGGATGCTAAACCCAATACAATTAAACTTATCACCTATAACACACATTGCTTTTGTATTTAATGAATATTAAATTACTTATCATCATAATTGTCAATTATCATATTTGCCATTATCATACTGCCAGTTATTATAATTTCTCTCTGATACCGAATTTTGAAGTTCAGTGACATACACTTTAAGAAAGTCTTCACCTCAGTACTAGCTACAGAATTAATACCGACTCAGATTGTTCTCATCAAACTGACACAACGTAATATACTGTTTATTCTTTATCGGCACCTACCTGAAGCCTGTGTTACTGTGTTGGGGAGTAGAGAGAGCTTATAAGTAAAAAAAAAAACAGAACTAAAGACCAAGTACCTGAGAGTCTATGTAGTTGTCAGAGAAAAGCAGAGCACAGCAGCACATACCTGAGGTTCATATGACGGTGATGGTGAAAGTAGTGGAGGGCGCAGAGTCATTGTTGGGTGAGTACAGACTCGTGAGAAATAGAAATAAGCAGCACCTACCTGAGGTCGGTGTGGTGGTGATAGTAGCCGTGGGTGTAGAGTCATTGTTGGGTGTGGTGTGTCTTCTAGGGTTGAACCTTGGAGAAACACTGAAGTGGTCCACGTTGTCCAAATCCGTCATGTGTAACTTCTCAGCACTGATAGACTCCAGCCTGATGCTTTGCTCTGATCTTAAGTCCTGTGAAGGAGAGTGACACTCATTTACTAATTCTTCCTAATATTTAAGGTGCAGGGAAAACGATTAATAATCATTAACCATAAAATAATGGAACGGGTGGAGTTTGAAACCAGTGCTCTCGCTCTGGCCTAGAGTTTTAGGACTCCCTAGCCATGGACTCAAACCCCACCCCTTCCCTGGTTTGTTTACAATCGTGTTAAGGTGCAGGGGCGAATGACATTAACTTTCTATCTCATCCTAAACTTCAAGTGCGGTGAGGGAGAAAGATGGACTTTGTCTGACTGTTTCATTCTAAATTTCAGCTCCTGGGAGAAAGATTTCTGTGCAAAATTCAGTTAAAAGTCTAACTGGCAAGTTATCCACGTCATCATAATTTGCCATTGTTGTGCATTAATAAAAACTGGACTTATTGCAACTAAACTTTTCAAAAATTTTACATGAAAAGTAAATGTTCACAGTAGATTCTCAGAGACGTGCGAGTTACATTTCTATATATTTGTCAAAAAGTGAAGAGACATGATAGTGTTTTGGTTTTTAACTTATTTTCTAACTCTTAGATAAGCAGTCCAGGAATCTTATTTACTTACGATATACAGATGTTAGGTGAGCAAGTTAGCAAGCTGAATTTTCTTATGGACAATTTTCCATCTTTCTTTCTATTTAATAGATTTCACGGAAATGAACTGAAGTGTTTTGTGAATAACTGAAAATTAATCAACGAGTTATTGTGTGTGTGTGTGTGTGTGTGTGTGTGTGTGTGTGTGTGTGTGTGTGTGTGTGTGTGTGTGTGTGTGTGTGTGTGTGTGTGTGTGTGTGAATCTACTCACCTAATTGTGGTTGCAGGGGTCAACACTCAGCTCCTGGCCCCGCCTCTTCACTGACCGCTACTGGGTCCTCTCTCTCCCTGCTCCATGAGCTTTATCATACCTCGTCTTAAAACTATGTATAGTTCCTGCCTCCACTACATCGCTTGCCAGACTATTCCACTTCCTAACAACTCTGTGGCTGAAGAAATACTTCCTAACATTCCTTTGACTTATCTGAGTCTTTAGCTTCCAATTGTGACCCCTTGTTTCTGTGTCACCTCTCTGGAACATCCTGTCTCTGTCCACCTTGTCTATTCCACGCAGTATTTTGTATGTCGTTATCATGTCTCCCCTGACCCTCCTGTCCTCCAGTGTCGTTAGACAGATTTTCCTTAACCTTTCTTGATTGGACATTCACCTTAGCTCTAGAACTAGCCTTGTTGCAAACCTTTGCACTTTCTCTAATTTCTTGACATGTTTGACTATGTGTGGGTTCCAAACTGGTGCTGCGTACTCCAGTATGGGCCTGACGTACACAGTGTATAAAGTCTTAAACGATTCCTTACTGAGGTACCGGAACGCTATTCTCAGGTTTGCCAGGCGCCTGTATGCCACAGCAGTTTTCTGGTTAATGTGTGCTTCTGGCGATGTACTCGGTATTATATTCACTTCTAGATCTTTCTCCTTGAGTGAGGTTTGCAGTCTTTGGCCTCCTAGCCTATACTCTGTCTGCGGTCTTCTTTGCCCTTCTCCGATCTTCATGAATTTGCATTTGGCGGGGGTTAAATTCTAGGCGCCAGTTGTTAGACCACGTATCCAGCCTGACCAGGTCTCTTTGTACACCTGTCTGGTCAGTATCTGATTTAATTCTCGTCATCAACTTCACATCACCTGCAAACAGGGACACTTCTGCGTCATGTCGTTCACATATACCAAGAATAGCACTGGTCCCAGGACTGACCCCTGTGGGACCCCGCTCGACACAGGCGCCCACTGTGATACCTCATCACGGACCATAACTCGCTGTTGCCTCCCTCTTAGGTATTCTCTGATCCATTGCAGTGTCATTCCTTTTATATGTGCCTGAGCCTCTAGCTTCTGTACTAATCTCTTGTGAGGAATTGTGTCGAAGGCCTTCTTGCAGTCCAAGAAAATGAAATCAACCCACCCTTCCCTCCCATTTCTTACTTCAGTTACCTTGTCATAAAACTCTAGTAGGTTTGTGACAAAGGACTTGCCTTCCATGAATCCGTGCTGGCTGTCGTTTATAATCTTGTTCTGCTCTAGGTGCTCCACCACTCTCCTCCTGATAATCTTCTCCATAACTTTGCATTCTATACACGTCAGTGACACTGGTCTATAGTTAATTCTTCATTTCTGTCTCCTTTCTTAAAGATGGGGACTACAATTGTCTTCTTCCATACTTCAGGTAGTTGCTCAGTTTCAAGGGAAGTGTTAAAGATTTTGGTTAGTGGCACACACAGTGTCTCTGCTCCCTCTCTAAGGACCCATGGAGAGATAGTGTCCGGTCCCACTGCCTTTGAGGTATCAAGCACTTAGGAGCTTCTCCACCTCCTCCTCAGTTGTGTGTAATTCATCCAACACTTGTTGGTATATCCCTTGTTGGTGTACTCCACTGTTTCGTCTTCCCAGTGTCCCTTAAGTGTGTATGTGTGCTCGTGTGTGTGTGTACTCACCTAATTGTGGTTGCAGGGGCCGAGTTACAGATCCTGGCCCCTCCTCTTCACTGGTCGTTACTAGGTCACTCTCTTTGCTCAATGTGCTTTATCATACCTCTTCTTAAAGCTATGTATAGAGCCTGCCTCCACTACGTAGCTCTCCAGACTATTCCACTTCCTGACAACTCTATGACTGAAGATATACTTCCTTATATCCCTATGACTCATATGAGTCCTCACCTTCCAATTGCAACCCCTTGTTGTTGTGCCCCATCTCTGCAACATCCTGTGTCTGTCAATCTTCCAACTTCCTCTCGGTATTTTGTATGTTGTTATCATGTCCCCCTCTCCCTCCTGTCCTCCAGTTTTGTCAGGTCGATTTCCCTTAACCTCTCCTCGTAGGACATTCCACTTAGCTCAAGGACTATTCAAGTTGCAAAGCTCTGCACTTTCTCTAATTTCTTGACGGGCTTGAGTAGGTGTGGGTTCCAGATTGGTGCTGCATACTCATGTATGTGCCTGACATACACTGTCTACAGAGTCCTGAATGATTCCTTACTGAGGTACCGGAACGCTAGTCTTATAGTTGCTAATCGTCCAAATGCTGCAGCAGTTATTTGGTTGAAGTGCGCTTCATTATATGTGCTCGGTATTATACTTATCCACTGATCCTTTTCCTTGAGTGAGGTTTGCAGCCTTTGGCCCTCTATACTGTACTCTGTCCGCAGTCTTCTTTTCCTTTCTCCGATCTTCATGACTTTGCTCCTGGTGGGGTTAATCTCTAGGAGCAAGTTACTGTCCAGATTCATATGTAGTTCTGCCTGGTCCTTATCTGACTGAATTCTCCTCATTACTTTCACTTCGTCTGCAAACAGAGACACTTCTGAATCTGTTCCTTCCGTCATGTCATTCACATAAACCAAAAACAGCACCGGTTCCAGGACTCGCCCTGTGGAACCGCGCTTGTCACATGCGTCCACTCTTACACCTCATCACGTACCGTGACTCGTTGTTTCCTCCAGGTCAGGTATTCTCTGATTCATTGCAGCACCTTCCTTGTTATACCTGCCTGGTTCTCCAGCTTTTGTACTAATCTCTTGTGTGAAAACGTGTCAAAAGCCTCTCTACAGTCCAAGAAAATGCAGTCTACCCACCCCTCTCTCTCTTGTCTTACTGCTGTCACCTTGACGTAGAACTCCTGTAGGCTTGTGACACAGGCTTCTCCTTCCCTAAAACAGTGGTAGCTGTCGTGTTCCACCACGCTTCTCCTGATAATCTTCTTCATGACTTTGTGTACTATACAGTCAGTGACGCCGGTCACTAGTTTAACGCTGCATGCCTGTCTCCTTTCTTAAAAACAAGGACTACATTTGCTGTCTTCCACACCTTAGGTAGTCGCCCTGTTTCGATAGATGTATTGAAGACTGTTGTTAGGGGTATGCAGAGGACTTCTGTTTCCTCTCTCAGGATCCTCGGAGAGATATTGTCTGGCCCCATTGCCTTTGAGGCTTCTAGTTCACATAACAGCCTCTTCAACCCCCTCTTTGGTTATATGTATTGTGTCCAGCACTTAACAGTGTACCCCACCACTCCTGCTTCGTGGAGTTCTTTCTGTCTCCTCTGTAAATATTTCATTAAATCTCTTGTTGAGTTCCTCACATATTTCTCAATCATTTCTCGTGATCTCCCCTCCTTCCTTCCTCAGCCTGATTACTTGGTCCTTAACTGTTGTTTTCCTCCTGATGTGACTGTACAACAACTTCGGGTCTGCCTTGGCTTTCGTTGCTATGTCATTTTCGTATTTCCGCTGGGCCTCCCTACTTATCTGTGCATATTCATTTCTGTCTCTTCGACTATTCTTCTTATTTTTCTGGGTCCATTGCCTTCTGTACTTCTTCCATTCTCTAGTGCACTTATTTTGGCCTCTCTACACCTTTGGGTGAACCAAGGACTCATCTTGGCCTTCTCATTCTTTCTATTACACTTGGGTACAAACTTCTCCTCTGCTTCCTTGCATATTATTGTCTCATCATATTATTTACTGATTTTCCTACCAATTCTCTTTCCCACTGAACCTCATGCCTGTATAGTCACCTCTCTTGTAATTTTGCTTCATTCATTCTGCCCTACCTGCTGCCCTCTCCATGTGTAACTCTACTATGTATTCGAAGCTGAGGACTATGTATATGATGTCTTCAATGTCTGAGCTACTCAAGGTGAATAAAAAATCCTGTCTTGCTGGATCGTCCTCTCCTCTCTCTCTTGAAGTGTCCCTAACATGTTGATGCATATGGCTTTCCAGTACCACCTCTAACATCTTAGCCCTCCACGTTTCTGGGCCTCCATGTGGCTGCAGGTTTTCCCAGTCAATTTTCTCTTGATTGAAATCACCCTGTAACCAGTAGCTTTACCCTGCCCACGTGGGGACTTCTTGCCAGTGTGTCTCTGTTACTCTCGTCATGTTCTTGTCTTGGCCTCCTACTGGGTTATACATCACTGCAATCAACACCTTGGG